GCAGTTCAATCTAGATGTACTTTGGATAAATTTGTGGTTGCAGTGTGAAAACTGGCCATTAAACTCACACCCGCAATGAAAATGCAACGCGTTATTAACGCGGTAGACATGTTTTACCACAAAACCAAGAACTCTTTGTACGATTCTCTTCACTGGCTTTCTATAATTTATGACGAGTGCCGTAAATTACATGTAGTACACGTATACAATACAACACAGTATATTATATTTCCATTGTTCTCAAAACACAGTATTGTTAAGACTATTATATTTGCACAAGTGAAAAATTGGACTCAATCAGTAACAAACAACAAAGTTAAACAAAATCTTTCTGCGAGTGTTATCCGTGACAGAATTTGCAGTATTCGTATATTTCTAACACGAAAATTTTGGAACAGAGGAATGAATGGTGTACTTAACACATTTGTCTCATGATTCGCACAATGCAACAACATCATCAACATCTAGAACCAGATCTGAATGGCAAAAGTCATACTGAAGTTAACAAAGCAGCCAAGAAAGCCTAATCATCTATACTGCGGAATACAATTACCTTACTATTCTTACTAATGACCTTAGCCCTCCATCTATCAGTGCACTCTCATCTACAAAAGAAGAAACTCATTGCACGAGTCGAGACTAGTCACGATCGACCATTTGCAATTCTAGTTATGAAGGTAAACATAGTAATAATAGTGCACAAATTGTAATAAGCTCGCTCGCCTTGCCTACGTGCGCAACTGTAACGTAACCCAATTCTGTTCTTGCGACATGTACGAAAATAAGGCGTTAATATATAAGTTCGTTGATTTCTGTCGCTGGTTTATATAGATCTTTATGTTCTGCTCTTAATGTTTACACTCCTGGTGAAGCGGCTTTCAATATTTCCCTATCATCTTAACCGGGATCTAAGTTATAATGAGGAAGATTCTTTATTTCTTCGTCGACGTTATTTTTTGCCCCGGACCTAGCATAAGACTAAAGTCAAGAGCAAACGTATTTCAAACAATTAGATAAAATATTCTTTGTAGTTTGCAGTCTGTTAACCTTCAACTACCTTTACTAAATTTTCTCTAAATTGTTTCTCAACAATCTTTCTTTCTTTATTACTTGTGAACATGTCTTGGATCTCATCAATCTGTGCTGTCTAATGTAAACTTACCGTAATGCACTCGACCGGTTACATAAGCAAACAATCGCCGAAAATAATCGTGATCGATTGGATCACGCACTTAATCAAGTGGCCGGAGCTTTCGAGTCGGTGTTATCAATAAAACATGAATTCGCTCTTACGAATAATAGGAAATGTTACGATAAAGGTGATTCTTGAAATGAAATCGTATTTCTGAAAAAATGTGCTCATGTTTCCCTTCTGCTGTTCTATAACCATTTTCAAGACGCACCATAACATCGCGCCTTTTATCCCCGAAGGGGGCAGTAGTGCACATTATGCCAATGTACAATACAACACCCACTTTTCACTATTTATGTTATGAGTCCCATGTAATAAGGGTGAGCCTATTGCCATATAACGGGCACAATTCCTTGCCCGACTTTTTATTACTAGAGGCAAAAATAAGTTAGCTATACCGCAATTCAAACTGTCCAAAGTACAGAAATCCTATATGGGGTTAGGTATTTAATGCTTTAATAAAATACCAAATAGCATACTAGATCTCAATGAAAGTAAATTTAAAAGATATATTAAGCGCGAATTATGTAATCAAGCTTACTACACACTGACAGATTATCTTGAAGATAAGAATGCCTGGCAGCATGTTGGTTCGGCTCCACCGGACAATACTCAAATGTAGTCCGTAGTTAAATTCCAATAGTAGGTAATTTAATACATAATTTAACACTTTAACTCTAATGTAGACAATCTAGTTTCCTTATGGCATCGAGCATTTCTTTATTGAAACAAAGAGTTTCCTTTTCTTGTATAGAAGCACTAATTCTATGGATTGTCAGTATGCATATGTGAGCACCATGTTGGACTTTAAGGTTTTTATTTTTTTTAAATTTTAGTAAGTTATTAGTATAATGCGTCAAGCGTGTCTTTGCATTGTTCTTACATAAAATATGCGTACAGTATTGAAATATGTATCAGAGACATTGTAGAACATACTTTTTTAAAAAGAGTAACGAATGGAGTTTCTTGCTCGTTCTTCTCCATTCGAATATACTTTTTGGAATGAGCACCTAGCTTCACCTAGTTTCACTGACGGACAGACTAACAGACTATTATTTATTTTGTATTTGTTGACGTTTCAAAAGTACCAAACTATGGTTTAATTGAAATAAATGCTTTGACTTTGACTTCGACTTCGACCCGGGAACCGAACCCGATACCCCTTGCCCGGCAGTCGCACTTGCGACCACTCGGCTAACGAGGCAGTCCTTAATAGCTACTTTTTGCCCCAAAATAACCATTAAATGTATGTGAGTACGGTGATATATTCAATAATCCTTAAGTTTTCGATGAATAATAGCATTTTTGCTACTTAACACCCTACAGAACTATTTCAGCACCTCACTCCCCTTTCCCTGTGCAATCTTAAAAATTAAGTACTTTTCCCTTCTTCAACCCCTATCACGCCTTGAGGATAAATAATAAAGGGATCCCCTCTAATATGGACGGTGCACAGTAATCAGAGAGCATTCAGTCATCTAATATTCAGGGGAGGGAACAACCTCCCGTCGTCGCCACAAGATCGCATTACTAGAGCTACCGGCAATATAACTTGCTTACCGATGTGTCTAAAGATATTTTGAGGATTGATTTTGATATTTTGAATAGGATTTAGATAGTTTGATGTATTACTCGTATTTATTTTACTTTTTAAAGTTCTAAACTATATTTTTTCATTCAATTGTTTCTAAAGTTAAAGGTACATTATTGTTATTTTAAATGGTTCTGCATAAGTTCAATATTGGCTACCTCTTGGCCACACAGTCTTGCTTCGCTATCATACTATGGCATAGCTTTAGCTCCCAGTCAAATCCCAGTGTTAATTGTTTATGAATGTATGTGCCGGATATTGTGACTACGAACAGTTGAGGCGTTGATTTTGAAATTTTGAGTTCGTGGTATTTTTCATTATTCATCGATTATTTTGAGCTTGCTAAACATGTTTTTTCGTTCAATGTGTGGCGTGATTTGTGGAATAGGGTGTTAATAAGTGCCCTATTGTACTAAGTATAACAAATTGTAGTTAGGTTTTCAAATTCCTGTTAAAACCGTGGTCCGAAATTGTACCCCATGTGTAGCATTACAGAATGGTATAAACACAAACAAATCACTGAACTACATGTTTATATTTCCCTACAAAATAAGAAAAACATATCACGAACCAATAAATCTGTATCAAAGAAAACAAAAACAAGTCTAAATAAATACAAATGTCCCGTTGAAAGTCAAGTAGTATCAACAGACATACACACATTAATATGTATGTATATTATAGCAGACTATGTAAACGTCCTTATTTGTGAGATTCCACCGTTATTTGACATTCATACATAATGTCACACACCCACATTATATCCTACAAGTTGTTTGTTTTCAACCAAATCCACCGTTGCTTGTGAATCTTGATTTTTGTCGTAGACTTTATTTCGATCTGAATCAGTTGTATTTTTTTTTTATTTGTAGTGTTCTTTTTATTATTTTTAAAGCCTTTGAGACGATCATAGGATACTCCCAACTCCGTACTCTCAATTTTGACGGAAGAATAACCAAGTCCAATAGAATTAGAAATTATGGACATTGTAAAAAACAGACCTATTATTACTAGAAGGACAACACATTTTGCAGTAACCTACAATCGAGCCTAAAACTTCACCACAACACTAGAAAAACCTGAATAAAACAGCACTTCATAACGCAGCCTTTAAAATAATAACAAAGAATGCTGTTAGGTACCTATACCTACTTCATTAAAATTAATTGCAAATACTTATCTACTTACACAGTTAGGATGAATTGTTGTGTAAATTTATTCAAGGATTTAATTTAATAATAGATATAAAAATAAAATAATTTCAATTATGTACATTTTGCTCTCGGAGAAGGTTAATAAATTCAAGGCTCATTAAAATGACTCATCTAAATGAATTATAATTCATTAAAAGAATGCGGATGACTTAGTATGGAAGGAGGACGTGCATATTTGCACACGAAAACGAATATTTTCCTCATCTAAATCATAAATTATAAATGCGAAAGTTTGTGCGGAAATATGCTTAAAAATAAAAATAATAAGACTTCTGCACGCCCCAAAGGGCTCAATTTTCGCAACTAAGGTTATCTATTAGATTAATATTTTAGGTAACATGACTGATCCCAATTTGAGATTGAGACGCTCCACAAAAATTACCCTCTCCTAAAGCCTTAAAAAAATAACATTATTAGCATTCATAGTTTCTGTCTCAAGCCGTATTGAGCTGAGTTAAGTAAAAGAAAGACTTCATCCTATTTCCTCATGAATAGTGGCCATAAATCACATAAGTAATTACTTGTCACATAACAGTTATAGTACCAACAATTTTATTGTACCGTGACGAGCACGCGATCTCTGTCACGCCATCAGCGTGTATTATCTGTGCAATTGTGTGTATTATCTGTGCTGCAGTCAGATAAAACTGTGTTTGCCAATTATTTTTGAACACTGATAACAATATTAACATGTGATGTCGGTTTAGTGTTTGTTAATTGTGATGCTCGCTGTTTAGATAACATTGCACTTAATATTATGAAGAAATTGGGATATTTCCTGCTTCTACAAGGCTTTATTTGATTATTTTAGTGTTAAGAAGGCGTTCGATTTCACCACCATGGTTTGGTGAAGTTTTTTGAAAGTCTTTCTAACGAATCGTACTCCCAATACTAAAAAATATCCTAAAAAGAGAATTTTTAATAGCAAAACTCACGAAGCGTAGAATATAAATGTTTATATATATATTAAGTGTACTAATGTTAGATATATTGTTGTCCACAGAAAGAGTCCCGCACGGACGTGCAGTTCCACCTCGCAGCGCTCCGAGGAGACTGCGACAGGTTGCGGCAGCTGCTCGACACAGGGAAGGTGCACATCGACTCCAGGGACAGGGTGAGCTTCAACCTAGAACAAATCCGATGGCTAAGGGCCAAGAATGTGATTTTGGATAAGCCTAGTTAAAATAAAAAAAGTTCGTCTTCGATGAACTTCTAACTGAATGGCAGTGTAGATGGGAATCTTCTATCAAGGGCCGCCACCTTTATCAGTTCTTCCCCTCCGTGCATGAGCGGCTAAAATGACTTCCAAGTAGTTAATGTAGGAAAATGACATATCTTCACACATTCAAAATAAAATATTGTCGATGTATCAAATGTAGCTCCGAATATTCACGATCGTGAGTAACTTATTTTGTGTTTACACGTCCCCGGAGAACTATCTCACGAATATCTATAACATTCGATTGGTTTGTTTGACATCGCACGATTCACATCATAGCAACTATTTATTTATATTTGTTTAGCATGAATATGACTTTATATGACTGTCGAAGAAGTCCCGAGTAGGCCTCTCCTACTTTCCTTTACAACTCTACAAGTACTTATAAAGTAGCTATGAAGTAAACAAATACTTCTATTTAACTGGACCAAGGATTATTTAATCTAGAACATTGGAATCAGACTGGAAACTTGTGACTTATTACTACCTATAAAAACAAGTAACCAAATGTCATATCGTCGGTTCGGTCACCCCGACACTTGACTGGACATAAATCTGAGATATCGATATAGGACGTATCGATTACAATATCTCAGGTGAATGTCAAACGAGTTCAAACCACTGACACTGAGGCCAAAGATTACTATTGTATTGACTTATTTACTTAATCAAATGTCAGCTATTGTTTCAATGTGTTTCCTAGTGTGTTTTAACGAGTTTTCTGCTAGACTGTTCATCAAGCAAACTTTGTTAAGAAAGCAAGTCAAGCAACCAGACTTCTTATTTTTATTATAACTATACAAGCAATGAAAACCAGTACAAACATTTCTACGAATATGACGAGAAACTAGCAAGGAACCACTCCATCCTCTAACGACCCACTAAAAAGATGGGGACGTGACGATAAACCACATTTTCGAGATCATGGTCCAAGATTAGCAGTGTCGCAAGGAAAATTGATGACTCGACGTCGCTCAAGAGGCACGCTTTGCCTATAAACCGTTCCCGTTGATGACAACCCTCGACCCTTCGAAGAAAGACGGATAGGGGATGACGCAACCCTAGTAGCTAAAAAAGGAAGCTTCAGATAGGGCGAATAAATCGATGCCCTAGATTTTATGCGAATTTCTCTTTTGATCCCAATTGGTTTCTGGACGATTGATTTTGTTCTTGAGGGCTGTTGTTAAGATAACTTTCGCCGTAATTTGGTGTTGGAGTGACTAAACCCTTCATTCAAGGTCTTTGTTTAACCTTCCCAAGATCGTATGCGAGCACTGAATCTCAAAAGTTATGTCAAAAATGTGTGTCATTAAATTAATACATACTCCAATGACCTCCAAGATCATAAAACTCTTCAGCCTTCTTATATCTGGTTTTCAAAAGCACCTCTTACTTAAAATTAACAAAAGAGTTTAGAAATCATCTGAGAGATATTACGGACAGAATTCAATCAATCGTAATGATTGTAATCAAGGCCCTAAAGTGTTACTTAATTATTTTCTCCGTAGTTGCAGTTAATAATACATTACGTAGAGAAAGAGTAGCGAATTACTATTATAAAGCAACCACTAACCACGAATGTATGGCCGCAGTAGGAAGTATAATAGTGATGTAAAGCTAACGGCCCACTTTCTGCCACCATTCTTTCTGATATGAAATTCACATAACTTCCCTTTGTTCAAGTTATAAGATTGAGCGATTTGTTGTAAAAAAATATACTAGGACTGTGGGATTTGAAAGATATTATTCAACATTATTTATTGCTCTCAAAACGATTAACAATTTACAAATTGGTATTTATAAGGAATGCTGATATAAAAGGAGAATGTTCACGTAACTATGGAATTTCGTCTTACGTTGTTGCACAATAAATCTTTATTTATTATAGACCATGCTTATTATATTATCGAATAAAAGCGTTCATTTTCCCATAAATATCCGGGTTTTTAAGTAATTAGACAAAAACGAAAATAACCTAAAATTATGTTTAAACTGTCAAACACCGTGCGGTCACCGGTGACCGCAACACATTACAACTAAACACAACACATAAAACGTTTTGGCGTATATAAAACTTAACTAAACATAAAAACGTCTTGTCGTATGCTACATGGAACTCACGCTTATTTATTCAAAAGTTCAAAACAAACACTCAAACAGTGAAACAGAAACAGTTTTCCTTACAATCCAAATGCCGCCACTCTGTCTGTCACATGTTATGACAGTTGCTTCTGCGTGAGACGGAACACAAAAATATATATATTGTAACAATACTACAAAATACTAAATAAAACATTGTAAAATGTATTAATATTACAAATTATTTAGCTATTTATTGAAGTTGATATAATTTTTGTGATGTTTTTGCCGAAAGGTTCTACTTACGTGATTCGTAAACACGAAGTTTTATTCGTAAGTTAGCACGGAACGTCAATGTCCTTGAAACGGAAATTCCATAGCAATTTTTATGTTACTATTAATCTTATCATCATAATTCCGGATACGAATATACAATTCCTGAAGTGAAAAGGTTGTAAAAAAATAAGAAAATTATTTCTATATTATTTTGATTTTTCAACTTGAAACTTTGCTAGACTGCTTTTGGTCAATCTCCTTTCACGAGATTAGACTAAGAATAGACACCTAATATGACTACAAATTCTACAACAACAGCTTTTGAATTTGATTGCTATTATATTACTTACAAACTCATACAACTGTTTAATTTTTACTCCCCGCTGCTACTTGCCTCTTAGTCCACAATAAACAGTAATGTCGTGCATTATAACTTAGTAGCCACTAAGTTACCTGTCATGTTTTATTATAAACAGCGCTCCCTTTACCTCATTGCATTATATTGCGCAATGTTACTTGGAAAAACTAACAAGACATATATACAGGAGATGTGGGAGTGAAAATGTCACATATCTAAACATTAATATATTTTTAATGTCGTCCCTGAACTTAGAAACGTCTGCGCATGAGAACATAAACTTGCCAGTCGCTATAAAAGTCGTTTTCTTAAAATTCAAGAAAATACCGTATTCCTTTTTAAAACGCCGGCAATGCACCTGTGACTCCTCTGGTGTTGCGGGTGTCCATGGGCGGCGCTGATTGGTGATCCGTCTGCTCGTTTGCCTCCTATTCCATAAAAAATTTTCATAGTACATAGTGATTTTTTTAAGGGGGGAAGATCATCGAATGACTGCTCCGCATCGAATGAAGGAGGAGAGCTTCTTAATTCACAAGATACTTCACTTATTATTATTACAGAAGATACACCGATTATTTTCACCTCTATTTATCCCATTTCCCATGAGAGATACCTACATTTTTATAAATTAATAATATTTTGAACAAAATCTCATCCCGCTTCCGCTTACAACTTAAACCGCCCAAAGTTCGTGAATCCACAACAAAGCGTTAACTTCATGTAATATTATAAACAGCTCCTACAGTTGCGTAAACGCGAAAATATAATGATATAATGGATGGGAACACGCACTGTGGTTGTAATGACGTGCGAATTGTGACCACTGTGCACTGTGCCCACGTATTGTTTGTGTACGTACACGAGTGTGGGACACTGCACACTGTGCTGTAGTTTACAGATTGAATATTTATGTGATAGTAGCTTTTACCCGCAGCTTCGCTCGCGTTACAAAAGAATAAAAAGTAGCCTATGTGACATATACCAATACACACGGGCGCCGAACATGCTGCGGCGTCCCGCTCGGACGCTGCTCATGTCACAGAGGGTCATGGCGATCCGAATGATCCGCGGATACCGCACGATCTCCGGGGAGTCGGCGAACCTCCTTGCCGGATCACCGCCGTGGGATCTGGAGGCGAAGGTGCTCGCGCGCGTGTATCGCATGCGCGCGGAGGCACGTCGCCGGGGCGAAACTCCTCTGCCGCGCCAGATAAGTGCGTGGAGGGATGAGCTCCGGCGCGATCTCATGGCGGAATGGCAGCAACGACTGTCGCAACCGAGGGCTGGGCTCGCTGCCATTGCAGCGGTAAGACCCCTCTTTGAGGAGTGGCTTGAGAGACGCTACGGCGTCCTCACCTACCGCCTGACGCAGGTCCTCACCGGACATGGAAGTTTCGGGAGGTACCTGTGTCTGATGGGGCGGGAGGAAACGCCCGGGTGTCATCACTGCGAGGACCGCCCTGAGGACACGGTGGAACACACCTTAGCGGAATGCCCTGCGTGGGCTGAGCACCGCCGTGCCCTCAGGGAAGTGATCGGCGATGGCGACCTCTCGCGTCCGGGCCTAGTGCAGGCCATGTTGCGGAGCGAGGGGGACTGGGATGCCGTCTCCTCCTATTGCGAAGCAGTCATGCTAGCTAAGGAGGAGGCGGGACGCGTGAGGCAGCGAAGCGCTGCCTCCTCGCAACCCAGCCATCACGAAGGACACACCGGGCGTCGGGGATCGCGGGACGATCTCCGGCCACCGTAAGCGCGGGCCTGCGGACGGCGAGCATGGGTGGCTCCCCGTCCGACCAGAAACAGACCCGAGCGTACGGCGCGTCGCGTACCGCGCGCGCCTCAAAGAGCCATCAGACCACCACAGATGGGGCCCAATAGGGCCGATGCCGATTCGGAGTCGCGGAGAACCTAACGGGTAACCGGGGCTCCGGCTCGACGTGCAGGAGAAGGAACGGGGTGGTTTTTAGTCAGTAAGAGTCTGACACTCCCTTCCGCCTCACCCAGGCGGGAGCAGTCATTCGATGATTTTCCCCCCTTAAAAAAAAAAATACCAATACACACAGCGCCATCTATACAAATACTTTTGTTTTTCGTCGGGAATATCAATTTTTCCGGGTTAAAAAGTACCCTATTATTTAATCCGGACTTCTAACTTTACGTCTGCAAAAATTCAAAGCAATCGGTTGAGTAGTTACGGCGTGAAGGTGGAACAAACAAACAAACTCACTTTCAGATTTATAATATTAGTAAGGAAGTAAGGATAGTAAGGATTGTTCTTGTTCTTGTTTTTGTTTTTGACATATCTGTTTGCAAGTTTCTAGCGACCTCTGTAGGATATTATTTTTTTAAATACAACCTGTATCTGTTTACGTATTCTGACTTATTCATGAACTGAAATTAATCCTGTGACAAGTAACACTATATCTAATGACTGAAATCGGCATGGCATTAAGTCCACCAATTTCACAGTGTATGTGCATTGTGCAATAAAGTTTAAATAAATACCATATCTGGCTCGATCAAGGTTCACGACAAAAACTCAACATAACAAAGTAATGTCAAAACCGAACAACAATCCAAAGATTCTGGATTGAGATGGATTAATAGACACAAGAATTGTTCAATAGCAGGCATTGAATAAGTCTATTAATAACTTGAATGTCCAGTACCTAACTAACACAATAAAAAGTATCAAATGACTAATCGGTGATTGCTCTCACGACATTGGTATGTCAGATTCCAAGCAAAATTTTCTCCTTTCTACAATTTCTGTACGAATTGAGCGGAACGATTAATTAATCAATTAATCTGTCAAACACCAAGCGGTCACCGGTGACCGCGACCTATTGTTCTTTAATTGTGTCTATAAAACCGGTACTCGACGAGTTAATTCATGTTTACTTTCCTCACGGATTAACATAGTTATGCATGTTAATCACCATTATGTGTGTACAATACACTGTAACATTCTCAAATGGTTATGTTAATTTTTATATTTACTGTGTTGTTAACTTGGGCGTTAGCCATGTCTGGTAGGTACAGAAATTGGGAAATATTATATAAAAAAATATTGATAAAATGTTTCTATATACGTCAGTTCGTCACTGGTTTATAAGTAAAAAATAATATAAAGTGTATATTTCTACCCTCGGCAGTTTCCTTTTTCTATTTATTTAGGTACATTGTCATAATTTCCAATGGCCAATGGGAATTTGAGGCCATTTTCGATTTCCATTTTCAAAACGACTTGAGGCCATTTTCTTATTATAATTTTCCAAGAAGATTATATTCTTTTGATCTATATTCTATGCCCTCACAGAAAATATAGATCGAAGATTGAAAAAATATTATTTTGACTGCTACAGTAATCGCTATCGGACAACTTGGACCTCAAGTAACTTAGCTCCATGTAGTGATCAAAAGAACGGTAACTCTGACCATGCTCTTTTTCTTATAACCATGAAGTGTTCATTATGTACGAATGTGTAAAGTAGCGTGTACACTGGTTACAGTAAGCTAAACACATAATACAACTAATGATGGGGAACGTACGTGCTTACAATTGTATCGTATACTTACAATTGTTCGTCAATAATATGCAAAGAAAACGTATGCTGTAATGCAGTAGTGATAAAATGAAGTTTTTTAGATTAGAGCCTCATTGGTCTAGCGATAACAAGCATTGTAGTTTATTAATATGGACCTTCTCCGTATGAGGAGAGGCCTTTGGCCTTTGGTGATACAAACAATAAAGAGTCTGTCTGTCGATTGTCGATCGCCCCCCTAGTGAATCTATTAGCTCGTCCTAAATCTAAAGTATAGATGGAGAAAAGCGGGCAGCAAGCGCCATGGTTACTCTTTTTATTCATTTAGTCTCTAACTTACACCTTACCTTAAATATCTGCTACAATTTTATACAAATCAAAAAGAAAGCGTAAACATACATAGTTTAATGTCATCATTAACCAGAGCGCAGTTGACAGCTCGTTAGTTTAACCGCAGTTAGTGTAAACGTAGCGCGCAATGTAAACAGCGGTTCATAATTACAGCTTAAGTGAGCACTTGTTAATCATGGAAAGCAGAGCTTTAACATAACTGTGCCACAGGAAATTGGAGCTATTTTAGGCCTTACATAACAAAAATGTTTCTTACTTAAAAAGAAAAAAAAATTTAATGGGGGGGGGGGGAATCATTGAATGACTTCCCGCCTGGGTGAGTTCTCCGCGGCTCCATCTTGACATTAGCCCTATTGGGCCCCATCCGTGGTCTGACGGCTCTGAGGCGCGCGCGGAACGCGATGCGCCGTTCGCTCGGGTATGGTTCTGGTCGGACGGCGAGCTACGCATGCTCACCGTGTCGGGAAGATCTACAGGACTAGGACCTCTACATAAGAGGGCTTACCATAACCTCGTGCCTATTTGAATCTGGGTTACCACGAGCATCACTACAAAAGCACTATTACACGTACTTTACACATGATGATAAATACAGTAGATAATTAAAATTGCTGCATACAATGCCTTTTTGCAGTTCCTCTACAGTTGCTAGTCACATGGACAATGGTCAGCGTCATTGACCAGTGATTAACGTAGAGATACAAGCAATTGACGATTAATTAAACATCTAGGTCCATAGTCTGTCCTTTTATTTGATAAGTAGTTGGAAATCTTCCCACTGTGTTCCCTCATGCCTATGTGTAGATTATAATCGGCTGTAGATTTGTATCTAGTCCAACTGTCGTCGGTGCTTAGCTGGTAAGTTTCTTCTCATATTTTCCTACCTGAGTTGAATGTTACAAAAGTACATACTTAGTACTGTGTACTTACGAAGTTGCAAGCAAATTCTAATAACACACAACTACACAACTACATAATTTCGTCCCAGAAATTAATGCTTGTACCTAAAAGGTTACGTAAATAACCCTCATTCACCTTTTGCTGCATTTTCACCCATTTGATAGCAAAAAGAGGTTAATGATTTTCATGCGTGCACGTCTCCGATTATTATTTATTTACGTTACGAATTGTGTCCAAATAATAGCGATGCAAAACCGCTGATTCACGTGTGTGCACTATGAATGTATTTCATTCAGTTTGTGATAGCCGTTTCATCGTATGGGTGGCATAGGTCTTAAGTCTCTTTGACCTACTTTTTAGATACGACCACAGGACACATAATTTGGTCCAGGCTCTGAAAACGCTCTAGTAAATTCTAGTGTACACGTAAATAATATAGAACCCAGGGCTAGAACTGTGCCAAACACAAATATAACGCTTCTCATATTAATTCTCCCAAAGCCAATTCTCGGTGACTTTCAAAGCTGTTAAAGTATGAATTAACAAATGACACTTTTCATGGTTTGCACTCTTGGCTTCTCCATCACGTGAACATAAAGTCGGCCTCCAGCCGGCCTATATTCACAAATGAGCGCTTTATGCCGCGTAGTGGCCGGTAAAAGGCGGCAAACGCAAGTTCCTAATGAGTTTTCTTTTACAGCGAGAAATGTGGAAACCGTTTATTTGCATAGGCTAGTACATTGTGAAAGTGACGGAATGTTATCTGTGTTACCCGTGTAATAAATATATGTACTTACTGCCAGCAAATACATGTGAACGTGGTAGTAGTTTGCAGATTTGATCCTCTGATCGAGGAAATTAATTGAGAATGGCGTACGTAAATTATGAAGAAACTCGATGTTTATTTTTTTTTATCTAAAAAACGTAGGTGCGTTTACAAACATACAATATCACATACACATGACACCCAGACCAGTGCGGGAATCGAACCTGCTACAAGTTGCGCGTAAGCCGGTTGCCCAGCCACCAACCGTGCAGACAATGGTCACTGACCGTGTCCGACAAAAGCTTACGTTACATTAGTTTTACCTAATTAGAAAATATGTGGTTTCAGCTAATCTAATCTAAAATATGCACGCGAGATAAATCTCAGTGAGAGTATATTGTGTGTGATAAGGATAACGTCAGGAAAATGTGCGTATGATACGCTGCGATCTCATAATTCCTGTAAATTGTAAACACAAGTCCTTATGACAACGAAATAAAGAATACATTCCATTACATTTTGTTCTTCCAGGACGGCACGACCCCGCTGATCCTGTCAGCTGCGATGGGTCACACGGAGTGCGTGCGCGAGCTGCTGGCGCAGGGCGCCGACCCGGCCTGCTGCAGGACGGTATGGGTAGCCTATATTATTCAATACTAGCGGCCCGTCCCGGCTTCGCACGGGGGGACTTAAGATTTTCGATTGAACAATTCAAAAGTTATCTAGAGCAAACTTTTATAAGGATTGAACCATTCATTAAAACGATTGTTATGGGTAAACTATAAAAGGTAGACATATGCTCTCGCAGACTTTTTTAAAAAGAATGTTAAGATGAACAATTCATCCATAGAGCATTTTTGTATAACTTTAACTATATGCTCAGCGCACGCCACGGAAAGCCTCAGAAACGACACTTTTCCTCCGTTTTTAAAACATTTTTGGTTACTGCTCCACAACTATAGGACCTAGCGTGATATTATATAGCCTATGTTACTTCTGAATAATGCAGCTTTCTAATGGTGAAAAAATTATTGGAATCGGTCCAGTAGTTTTTGAGTTTATTCATTACAAACATACAAAAATACAAATCTTTCCTCTTTATAATATTAGTATAGATTACGTAGCAAACAATTATGTCCTCAAACGACTTCGAAAACATAAATTATTTAAAATGCAACTAGGAGCTCTAGTAGACTGCAACTTGTGCATGTGACATCGGATTTATGGCACAACAGAGACCTAAGTATTCGAAACGAGAACGCATTCGGCACTCTGATTGGCCGGCTCAAATGAAGCAACCAATCACAGCGCCAAACGCGTACTCGTTACGATTACTTTAAACGTAAAACAAACTCAGACTAATGCCTCAGAACTTGCGTGTTATTATGTCGAAGCATTGTAAACATAACTGCCTCGTTGGCCGAGTGGTCGCAATTGCGACTGCCGAGCAAGGGGTCTCGGGTTCGATTCCCGGGTCGGGCAAAGTATTACTGGGTTTTAAAAAAATTCTCAGTAGTAGCACGGAGTCTGGAACTGTGCCCGGTATATGGCAATAGGCTCACCCCCTATTACATGGGACTCATAACATAAATAGTGAAAAGTGGGTGTTACATTGTACAGTGGTATAATGTGCACCTCTGCCTACCCCTTTGAGGATAAAAAAGGCGTGATGTTATATATATATATATTATATATTGTATGTTATATATATTGTAAACATAACTTTACACAAACATGACACACAACCAAGAAGTCTCGGAATTGATTTGCAGACAGGAACGAGTGCGCTGTTCTTCGCGGCGCAGGGCGGGTTCCTGGACATCGCGCGACTACTGCTCGACTCAGGAGCTGCCATCGACGCTCCTAGCATGGTCGGTGCACTACCAATTATTTTATTCTATGAAAAAAGTTAATTGTAACAGATTACCATAATAATATTGAATGCGTTCACGTCCTCAGGACGGTGGCACGCCGTTGTTCGTGGCGTGCCAGTGCGGTCACCTGCCAGTCGTCGACGAGCTCATCCGGAGGGGAGCCAACGTCAACTCTTGTATGAAGGTAAAGCTAATTACCTGATCAATTAATCTTAACATGCCAGTTGATAACTAAAGCACTCAGAAATCCTTGACTTATAGAAAGTCTTTTAATTATTTATTATATTATTAATCATTTGTTTAAATCACTGGTTGTCGGTAGCTGTGCTTCATTTTAAGACCTGCCTGTTTCCATAACTTTTGAAACAGTCACCGTACATTACAAATTGAAAGTCATATGAGATAGGTCGTGATCTAAGCACGGACTGTAATAGTTGCTGATATAGCAGACCCTCTGTTATGTTACGTGAAGCTTGGATTTGCGGCGGCTAGTAAGAATATTGTGTCTATGGTTCCAGGACAAAGCGAGTCCCTTGTTCATAGCGGCCCAGAACGGTCACGAGGAGGTGTGCGCGGCGCTAGTGTGTGCGGGCGCGGCCGTGGACGCGGCGCGCGCCGACCGCGCCACGCCGCTGTGGATCGCCGCGCAGTGCGGACACCAACACGTCGCGCGCAGGCTGCTGGCCGCCGGGGCGCGGCTGGACCACGTGCGACAGGTACCTATGGGACCCAACAGGGCCGATGCCGATTCGGAGTCGCGGAGAACATAACGGGTTACCGGGGCTCCGGCTCGACGTGCAGGAGAAGGAACGGGGTGGTTTTTAGTCAGTAAGAGTCTGACACTTCCCTCCCGCCTCACCCAGGCGGGAGCAGTCATTTCCATTTTTCCCCCTTAAAAAAACCCTAGAGGCTAGTGTCGGCGGGCGCGGACGCGGACGCGGCGCGCAACTAGACCACGTGTGACAGGTCGCCACTACTGCTAGCAACTTACAGATGCACCCCGCTGTCCCTACTGTCTGTACCCAACAAAGTCCTCCTCCTCGCACTACTCTCTTCCAATTAGTACTCCAACTGTCACGACACATTGCTTCGAAGTCGAAAATAAATTCTTTTATTTAAATCGGTTAATAATGATATTTTTTGCTCAATTTATTCACAAACCACTTCTAAAATTATTCCTAACAAAACTGAATTCCATGTTAAATGTGCATTGTAATTTTTCAGGACGGAGCCACACCTCTCTTCAAAGCAGCCCACAAGGGTCACGCTGCTGTCGTTGTAGAACTGCTCAAATACAAACCAAACCTTGGATTGCTTCCCGTAAGATTTTAATATCTAACTAGAGCTATTAGTTGTGACATCTATCGAAAAAATGTGTAACCTACTACTATGCTTGTCGAAATGTAATTTGTTTATCCGCTCCGCACAAGATGGCGCTAATGTTATTTGTTTATCCACTTGACACAAGATGGCGTTCACGTCATTTGTTTATCTACTTGACACTAGGTGGCGCAAATGTCATTTTTATCTACTTGGTATAAGATTGCGGTAAACTGATTTTTTGGTCTAGTAGATACTAGATGGCGCTAATTTAACTACAACAATTTCAGAATGGTCAGTCGGCCCTCCACGGAGCTGCAATGTTCGGCCAGATGTCGTGCGTGCGGCTGCTGGCGCGGCGGTCGCAGCTGTCGCTGCGCAACTCGTGCGGGCTGACGGCGCTGCAGGCCGCCGCCGCCGCCCGCAAGCACGACGTCGTCGCCTACCTGCGCCGCCTCGAACACGAACTCGCGCATACATGATGCCGGCCGGCTCCGTCCTCGCTGGGCTCTTGAACGTTATTGTCTTACTAATTAGGAACTGTCATTTAATGCTAATTATTGTTCGACAATATCCGTTGTCCTTATAATACAATGTGATAAACAATTTTTATTTTCAATGAAACATATTGGTCATTTTATCCGCAAATGAAATGTACATTTAGTACATTTTTATACAATAACGCAATCTTAAATGACAGCTCCCAAGTAACAGACGAAGCATTTGTTATAAATCTCACCCGTGTATAATATCGATCTGCATACAATCTCGTATTCCTAACTATAGTTACTAAAACTGAATATTTTGTATGATGTACTCGCAGCCATACTCGTATAGCTTTACCCACTCGCCTTATGCAATACCTCACCTGTTACTAAATAGATATACATTCAATATACCCTTGTAAACGGTAGCAACATTTACAACGTTTTATAAATACGGTTCAAAATAGGGAAGTCACCTCTTAACCAGTGAACTGAACATTAAATTTAAGTGAAGATTATTTGCCCGGGAAATCAACCTCGAGAATATTGCCACCGTTTACAGATGACGTGAACAAGTTCGAAATAAAAATTGGATTTATTGTTGGTGCTGATTTAGTCAATAAGCGATATGTAAACATGTTTTAATTTACACTAGTCAACTTGTTGCGGTCATTACAGTTTCTGACATAAAACGAAAAAGAAAACAGATTATAATCAATTAAACGAATATGTCAGAAGTTGTAGATGACCGCCAAACGTCTTAATCACTGTAGCTTGTACGACAAAAATGTATTTTTCATACAATCACATACACAACTAGTTGGTAAGGTAACTGTTGTATTGTTATAGTATTTAGGCTAAGTGAAGTATTTATTTGTATTATAACGTCACCATTTATAATGTAGTCGTCGCTCAATTGTATATTAAATTGTATCAGATTGTTTGTGGTATTCTCAATTAAGAATCTCGTTTTAATTTTGGGAAGTATTTTGAAAATGAACTTACTTTTTATTCAATTTTACGCTAGACCTATGTATATAATCTCGTGTCAATAGTAGTTCCTCTAACAACACAATAGTTCCATAATGGTCAATTATTTTAATAACATGGTTTTAGGGATAACTCACCAAATAAACATGATATTTAACTCATAACATATGATTACATAGCATAATACATGTGTCGGTGTAGATGTAAGTTTCCACAATGTTGTTATGTTATAAAGTATGAACAGTACAGTTGATTTTTTTAAATATAAAGTTTTACTTATAAACTCTGTATTCATTTTTCGGTTTCTCGAAACAACTCTCCTCGCCCTCCTATCAAATTGAGTAATCTTTTTTAAATCTTTTAAATGAATTAAATACCAATTATAAAATTCGTTCCGAAGTACAGTAAAACGGGGTGATTAGAATTCGAGGGGGTGAATAGATACAGAAAAGGGGTGAATAAATGTTGAGAAAATAGTCTAACACTTATCCACCCCATTCCTGTATTTATTCGCCCCTCGAATTCTATTCACCCCGTTTTACGGTATCAGGACTCCATGACGTAATATGAGCCAGCGCTCACAGCCAAAGAGCATACAAGCGCGGGCGCCAGGCGCGGCCACAGCGGCGCTCATAGCTCAGCGCGTAACCGAGCTGTCGCTTATCTATTACTTAACCCATTACTATTTTATGAACTCTTTATACTTCGAAACAATTAGGACGTACTTTTGTAGCAACTGGAGTATTTAGTTCAGATATTGTCTTCTTTTTAGTAAGACAAGTTTTTTTTATCTTTTATGTTCTTTACTTATTCAGCTGGCATTGTAAAGACGAATCAGATTAAGGGCTATCTTAGTTTCACGTAGCTTAGCTATTACATATACACATGTGGCTAGCAAAAAAGGTTATGGATCAGTTTAAAAATGAAAAGCCCTTACGGGTACCTAGAAAATACTGTTACATTTATTAAAGTATCAATATTAATACATAATCTTGCCATTAATAATAAAAACAGTCAGTCCATGTACTCGCAGAATACAAGTTAATAACAAAACATTCAAGTAAAATACATATGAGTAATTTTACCCTGTAGTGTAGTAACTACTACACCCTTAAAACTAATCAATTAGGTACAAATGTATAATTTATCGTCCTGCCTCGCATTGTTCCAACATGTCCACTGCAGCTATAGACAGATGCTGTGCCGAGGGTCGCATGGCTGGCATTGTCTCCGTGCAGCAGTGGAACAGGGCGAGGGGATGTATGTACACCTTCTCTGAGATATTTACTGGTACAGCTGGCCTGGTACCTGTGAAACAAAGTCAAAATCATTTATTTCTCATTTAGTTAAATTATACCAGAAAGGTACTTTTGAACGTCAAACAAAAATTATCAGTAAAGCTATTTGCTCATTCCAAGGTGTAGATTCCCATGGAGATGAACGAGCAAGAAACTCCATAGGTTACTCTTTTTTAATCTACAATTCTCTAGTTACATAGTTTTGTTAGTTCGATTGTGCGAGAACAATGTAACATCAAAATCCAGTCAGAGATCGAAACAACAAACAAACACATAACTAAACATAGTACAAATAATATCATTATATAGCAGGGTTTATAGATTCTTAAAAGTGAAACTACATTTCAATGCCTTAATTAGAAAATAGATACACCTATTATTATAGTAATTACAAAAGAATGTAAGTACTAAATACATAGTACCTATACATCATTTTATAATACTGGTCATTTCTTTGCTGCTGTTTTTCTCTTTGCCAAAGAGTAAAACTTTACATATAAAGTTAAATAGTAACTCACCATATCTATCTGAGAAGTAATCAGTCACACTGTCCATGGAATCATCCAGGCACTGTATACTATCATCCTCCATGTATGTGTCTTCTGTCTGTGTGTGTGGAGGGACCAGGGCCATCATCTCCCACAGAGTGAGCCCCAGCGGCCAGATGTCTGTCTTACTGGAGATCTCACCTCCGTGAATTACTTCTGGAGCACTCCAAGCTTCTGTACCTGTAATAAGAACAATGGATGATTTTACTTATTTTTTATTACTATTTACCTTTGCTAGTAATAAAACTAAGGCATATAACACATAAAACATAGGTAGGGTTTGAAATAGAGATATAAAAATGTACAGTGATCACAATGATGTTTTCTTTTACAAAAATAATAAGATACTTAGTTATTGCCTAAAGTTGATAGTAGATTAAATTCCATTATTCAGTTGTTTTAATTTTACATTGAATAGATATTATTATGGCTTTTATGACATAGGCAAAACAGTGAGTTTGTTGAAATTTGAATGCACCTGCACTAGTATAACAATGATTTCATACAATGATAGTATCAGGTATGTAATCAGAAGTTCTTGCCTGCAGGACAGAGACCTACTTACACAGCATAGCACCAGATATTTCTAGATCACAGGTATTTAGCTGCGCTGTAACTTAATTTCTTTTTTTACAAAATTGATTTAATTCAAGTTTGTGTTGTTTGTTTGGTCAATAGGGCCTATTCAGGGCTTATAAAGTACTTACATCTACTATATCTTTCGCTGTTTCAGAACTCTAAACTGTAAAATTACCTGCTTCAAACTTTCGATACTGCAACATCATTTTCCATTCTACATAATTTTGTGTAAATTAAAACCAGTGTAAAACAATAGTAGCCTTAGCTACTAAGCTAAGGCTACTAGGTAAATTTGGGTTTGTACACATATTTCTAACTGTTGTAACAAAACATTTAACTATTTCTAAGCCTGTATTAACATCTTACCAAAGTATGTAGCTTTTCCAGCCATAGTTTTGTCAAAGACACCATTCTCATCAAGGGGCAGGCAGACACCAAAGTCACAAAGCTTGCAGATTACAAAATCTCCGTTCACCAGGATGTTGTATGACTTCATGTCTCCATGCAGAATTTGCATGTTTGTGTGAAGATAGTGTAGGGCACTGGCTATATCTGCACAAACCTAGAACAAGATTATTGAGTAAACATTTGTGCAATATTATAAAGTTATGATAACATTTCGACAGGAAGACCACTGAACATGTTAAATATCTTATAATCTATTTAAACTGTCAAACACCAAGTGGTCACCGGTGACCGCAACCTATTGTTCTTCAATTGTGTCTATAAAACCGGTACTCGACGAGTTAAAGGCAAGTACCATAATTGGAAATTTCACTCAGAATAAATCATAATAGTAGGCACTGTCTGTCATTAATACATGAGAGTGTATTCCCATGAGAAAAACAGTATACACATATTATTCAACTTACCTTTAACATTTGTCTAGGAAGGAAAGGCTCGCTATTGGTTTCAATCCTTTTCTCAATCATATCACCCAGGGAGAGGTCACACGCCTCCATACCCAGGTACAAGATCTTTGCATTGCTAAACGCGCGGAACCCAACAATGTTAGGGTGTGACATGCGACGTAGTAGGTCAGCTTCAGCTTTCAAGCGATGCGTGTAAACCTTGTTTGGTTTCACACGCCGGTTCAGCATCTTCAAAGCCCATGGCGAACGGACTTGTCCCGCCCGAGGTGATCTAACTAGCTGCATCACATTCACACCTAAAAAAACATGAAATAATTAATTTCTTCGTTCTATTTACCACGTGGAGGAACTTTTGTATTGTCCCACCTAAGCAAATTGTGGATATTTTATGGTTAAAAATAATGTGAGGTTTCTAATAGGACATAAAACGTGGAGTGTTTTAGGTCGACCATGAGTTAATTTTCTTATACATAAAGCACAAATAATTCTAATATGCACAGAATTATTTCAAATAAACAACATTTACCAGTTCCATATCCAAGTCTGTTCAAAAACGGCGACGGAGGTATTGTTATTGTTTCATCTCGATCCCGACCTTTAGTTTTGATAGGCGTTTTAAACTCAGCCATTGTATTATTAATATTACAATTTACAGGCACAAAACAAGAATAAAAATTATTAAAGTCAATTAACAGTTACGGTTTCAAAGGCTTGTTTTGAATTTGAATTTGCTTTGACAGCATGTGTACCAACCTAATAATATTAACGGAATGATAATGACGTAAACTACCTTTCTCGTTTTATTTGCTAAGGTAAGAAAGAGATAAAACTTTTTATGCTAAACATCATTGCTGTCTGTACAAGTTTTGGAATGCAAAAATATTTCGTTCGGAAAACATTTTATTTTTTTAGTCCTTCATTAAAAATCCTTTTTAATAGAAAAAAAATATGTACTCGTAATTAAATTAGAATGAATGAAATATCTAATCTTAGTTCTCATTATTATTTTAGTCTTTACCATTCACGGGACCACAGGGTCCCGGTCATTTGGGAGACGTATAAGGGGCCGAAGCCAACTGCGCAGAGGCCCTTTAGACAACTTTATTCTAAATGTAATGGAGACACAAACCGGCGACTATCCCTGTATACATTATGAAAATGCACCCAAGGACAGTCCCCGGTTAGTGTAGGACTATTGTGAATAATGGAAAAAAAAAGGTAGGGCTATGGATGGGTTGTTGTGGACTGGTAAATTGAGAACTATGGATGACTATGGCACTTGCCGAAACAATGTAATTTTTACTCGTAAAAATGGCAGTCGGAGACTCGCCAACTCACCGACCGGGCCCCGGGAATGGTTGCTAGATATAGCAACATAGGGGCAACGAGAATGTGAGTGGCTGAAGGGTTAAGAAACTACCACCGCTTTCTACTCAGATCATCTGCTCCAGCCGAAGCCTCCTGCATCCCTGGCCCACTCGCGACTTACGAATAGTTTCTTACCCTCCGAGCAGGATCACCGCTCTCGCAACTCCACTCTGCACGGCCAATGAAGGCTAGCCAGAGGTGGGAGGACCTGTTCCTTGTCATCGTTCACTCCAGCCAGCCAATTAAGGCAAGCCGGAGATTAAGGAACGGTGACTTCTCCCTGGAGCACTCGGGATGATGGTGGTCCGCGGGGTCGCTAATGCCCGTCACCTCGCCTCAAGGTGCCCTGCGGGCTTAGTATTTATTTTAGTATTTATTATGTATATTAATTAATAAACGTATGCATTATTGTTGCGAAATTATAAAAAAATGTGTGTAAACATAATTAGAATGTTACACAAAATGTTTGTGTTATGTATTGTAGCCACGTTTGTGCTGCGGAGGACTTAACGGGTTGCCAGAGCTCCAGCTCGAAGAGTAGGAGTAGGAAAGGGGCGGTGTTCTCAACCTTAAAAAAATATTAAGTAATGCTATCTTTTATTTTTTTTATCGAATTGGGCAGCAAATGAGAAATTGAGCCCTGGCTCGTCATGTGGAACCGGCCCATTCGTGCCAAATGTGATAACTAATAACTATATGAGGTAGAGTTAATGAGATAACATGTTAACATAAAAAACCTAATCACCCTCTGGTATGAATAGGCGGTTCGACCGGAGTAATACGGCCTTACAAAATACCAACGTGAAACGATCCTCCCTCTCCAATCCTCTATTCTCAAAGTCAGTAACGCACTCGTTAGTTGTTACTCCTCTGGTGTTGCGATATCCACGATAGATAGATACCTATAGAAGTACATAGGCAAGTTCATTTTAAAGCAGGCAGGACAAACAAATATATTTTCAATAGATACTAATAATTCTTAAAGCGGTTACCACATTCTTCGACGCAGGCAGAACTGGCCACAAGTAAATCGAGTGTGCTCATGTAATGATTACGTGTGTATTATTACAGTTGATTACAGTGTGTATCATAACGTTATATTGGTACTAAGCACTAACTTACTGAACTTGTTCATCACGACTGTATGACGTTGGACGTCACCCGTACGTGTCGCGTCGCTCCCAAACATGTGTCGTAATAAGAACAGTAAGTAATTAGAAACTGCACAATTACTTAATTAAATATTGCCTCCACGACTGCCTCGTTGGTCGAGTGGTCGCAAGTGCGACTGCCGGCAAGGGGTCTCGGGTTCGATTCCCGGGTCGGGCAAAGTATTACTGGGTTTTTAAAAAAAATTCTCAGTAGTAGCACGGAGTCTGGAATTGTGCCCGGTATATAGCAATAGGCTCACCCCCTATTACATGGGACTCATAACATAAACAGTGAAAAGTGGGTGTTACATTGTACAGTGGCATAATGTGCACCTCTGCCTACCCCTTCGGGGATAAAAAGGCGTGATGTTATGTTATGTTATGTCTATCTACTTATACACTTCATATCATTGTGCCTGCGACTTTGTAAGCGTAAACCCCTTTTTTCCATTCCCGTAGGGATTTCGGTATATCTGTACATACAAAGTATTTCTTTATATGACCAATGTGCAGTATCGAAAAAATAGTACCTACCTAAGTAAGTGGCCTTAGTCAAGAAAATGATCAGCAATAACCTGGCCAGTTACAAGTAGAGATACACACAAATAGGTACCTAATCAAAATAGATAAATGCAAGGACCTTTTTGAGTATTTATCCGATAACACCCTCATCTCTAGCTACGAGTGCTACGACCACAGGCTACGGCTACGCTACAACACACGACACACATGACTCCGTAGCACGCATCTAAAATATCCGATAAGCGAAAAAGCTACGATTAGCTTAGAATGAGGTTGTGAATACGAAAGTTATTAAATTAAAAGAACTGCTACCTACCTGTGCATGATGAAGTTATTATTCATTGACGGTACTGCCACTTAGCTGAAGCTGGTGCGGGGTCCTATTATGAAGGTACCTATAATACGTTACGTAAAATAACTTATTTATCTAAATACCATTATACATTACACATTATACATTTACACAGACGTCAATCTTGACGGTCACAATAGCATTCAGTCAGGTTCAATAGTTAAATTCGGCATTGTTTATTTGTATTTATTTGTAAATTAAGTCATATGTATGAGTGTATGTATGACCGACATAAATATCATGTAAACGTGCAGTATGAACAAATAAACGCCTGCATTGCCAATAAACGGAACTGCAACATTTAGTCTCTCGAACTTGGTAGAAGCTTTAAATATGTACATACATGGGTATGACAGGATTAACCTATCGGCTTATAATAAATACGATAATCGCCAGGTTCCTTTACCGGTTCCAATAATTATAATTAACGTATAAGAGCTAAGGATGGGCAATGATACATTACCAGCCAATTATGTAATTACCAAACATTTTTATGCGGCATACCAAAAACGGTAAATTTTAATTAATATTACCTATTCAAATTATGACGTGTATAATCATGTGAAACTGATTGGCGAAGGCCGGTGTCCGGAACTAGGGGAAGCGCGGTATTACGCGGGAACAGCGCGGCGAAGGCGCTAGGCGTCGCGGTCATCCTTACTGTTTCACAGTTGCTCAATGGAAGGAAGCATTGACGTCGACGTTGAGGTAACACACTGTTAGTAATGGAGCGGTCACCGCGCAGCGCGGCCGTGCCTCGGACTAGAGCCAGCATGGGCCAGTACCACACACTCAGGTAGGACCTTGCTGCACGCAGTGCACGCGCCATTGGCTCGCGATAGTTGCGTTTGTGATGTGTTGCGTATTGCGTATGGATGCGCCCTGAGGTAGGTGCCTCCTGCTTGCCGCAGGTGAGAAACGTACGTGTCGTCTTGTGTAATCTGGGATGGACCATCACCTCACCATCTATTGGAACTTTCTTCAAATGGTACTCAAATGGTATACTCGTACCCAATGTGTTTATTACTCTTGCTGACCAGTGAGTGATATTTATTGGACATCAGTGAATTTACTAAATTAATCGCTATTATTAGCCATTTAACATTATCGTTTCAGGCACTTACAGAACTGTAGGGAAAACTGCATAATTCATTAACTGTTCAGACCGTGGGATCGATTCTCATTTATTTCAAATTTCAATACCTATAGACCGTGAAATTTATTTCGATTTTGTCCCGCGGCTAAACAATTTGCCATAAGGAGCACATTTAGTGTATAAAGTATATCTAAACAAAAAAATAAGGAATTTTTTTTTTTTAAAACAACTTAATTGAAATACGCGCCATGAAACACTAGACTAATGTAAATTTGTAATTACGTCTCACGTGCCACCCGATGAGAAATGCCTCTTCGAGATTTACATGGCGTGATGTTTTGATAATATACCTACTATGAGTTCGTATATTATGTGCTTACGAAGTTTACCTTATTCAATAGTTCACCTGTTATTGTTTGTTTTAAACATTTTATTTCTAAGTAAAACTGTTGTATTACCAAGACAGAAAGACTTTACTTCGGGACGAAAACGATATAGAATTACGATTTCATTTCGATTTCATTGGTAGGTACATATAGTTACTAACTATTTACTGACTAGTACTACTACTAATTTAATCAAATACAGTTAGACTGTTGTCAGTCTGATCGCAAATCGCTGAAATGTCGCCAATGTCTTTAATTTTGTCATTTGTGCAGTGTATTTGTAATTTTCTAACGACCACATTATCTATGTATATAAAAGAAAGTCGTGTTAGTTACACCACTTATAACTCAAGGACGGCAGAATAGATTTGGCTGAAATTTGGTAGGGAGGTAGCTTAGAGCCAGGAGACCGACATAGGATACTTTTTGACCAATTTTTTTTTTTACTTTTTACCGAAAATCACGAACAGGAACGGGAAAAAATGGGATTACGCCTACGAAGTCGCGGGCAGAAGCTAGTTTATTTATATAAATAACTGTCAAAATTCGTCTATGAATGTGCGAATCTAATAACATATTTTTTTAATCATCACTTAACTGTCATTGTCTTGCTTATTCTTCAAGTTTTGAATGAAGGTTAAGAGTAACCTCGGTTCTGGTGTCCAGTGCGTTCCTCAATATCAAATTATGGCCGTGACCGAACCGACATAATCATTAGTTCAAGCGAGTCTCCGAAAATAAGGTGGGCCCATGTAATTGAAATAAGCCTTGCATTATTGTATGCTTAGAAAGGCTCGACTTGTACATTATAAGTTGTTCTGGATACCTGAATAATGCACGCAATATATCGATTTTTATTCATTTCGCCAGCGTTCTTGGCTAATACTAAAACGAACGTGTAAGTCAATAGAAAAACATACATACAAAGCAGCTATTGTAATTATCAAAAATCGGCAATGTTTTTATCTATTTGTACCTAATTACAGTCGTAGGTACAGCTAGGACATTATCACTCTCTCTTAACATCGACGACTTCTTTTTGCTACAGAAATTTAGAAGCCAAAGGTGTCCAAACATAAGTATTTGCAGATTAGGTTCAAGAGTATCTGTATCTAAGAAATTAGGTAATCTTGTTCTACTTTACATAAGTCTGTCAGCTTATAAAATAGATTTTATACTAAGTCCCTAATAAAGTCTTCATAATATATATTTATTTAATTAGTACCTAATCATTGAGAAACACACAACATAAAGTAGGTGCCTAATTCATGTTGTGAGTAGGAGAATTAAATTGTTTTTGTCCTAACATCATCAACAGTCAGTTGACATTCGGCAGCCATTGTTATATTATGTACAGACACAATGATAGACACATTTGTTTCATTTTTCGTGTGATGCAATAATACCTATTGATATTTGTATGTCCGTCACATCGTCAATGTAAACAATAACCTGTTATTATTTTCACACGATTTGCTATCATCGGAAGTTATAGATTAACTGCTTTAGCTACGTATTTGTAACTCTTAGCGTTCTCCTGGCCTTTCGGCTTTTCCCAAATATTAGCGGTGGTCGACAGACTTAGTATCCAGATTCGGCTGAATGTCCTATTTTACAAAGGGAAACTGTTTGCTACTGTTCTCTCTACAACTAAATCCGTTGTCATATTATTTAGGCTTCTGTCTACCCGTAACCACGTGTCACAGTCATAGCCGACCGTGAAGTCATAGAGCTAGCTATTTGTTTATACTATGTCTGTGACCGACACAATTCCTGTAATTTTGTCTTGAAACATCGGTTCTGTTGCAAGGTGCAGTGGACTGCTGAACTAATTACAGATGTGTGTTGCCACTTACCATGGTAAGTGAATGGTCTGCTGGCCTGTTACCCATGGCCATGTGGCGTTGTAGAAATATTTGCTAATTGTTAGCACTTTCTTACATTAGTTGCATAGGCCTCATCACATAATAATTGATCCATGAAAAGCTGTCAGTAAATGACCATTTCAGTGTAGATCGATAAGTACCAAGTTGCCTACCTAATTTACCTTTACTATAGATATTTGTTAAAACATCCCTACGAGGAAATAATCAATTTGTATGATGTTATTAAAACATTAAAATTGATTCGCGGAACTGCTTATTATCGAACAGCTTGTAGGAACAAACATTTAACGATTAGCGTTAGAAAATTCTTTATGACCCTTGAATCCCTGTAGTGTCGGTGTGAGTAGCTGAAGTACTGCAGCAAGTTGCTGTGTACGTACTATGTGGCTCATTGACCCACTTCGAGGGATCTCACTGACATCCTGAATTGTCGAAAGTTGCATTCAAGGGTGCACGATATTTCCGTTTATCTTTATTATTCTTTATTGAGACTAGGCATGTAAGTGCTATTAACTTCCTGAGGTAAAAATGCAATTTTTGGCAAATTAATTTTTGTATTACAAATGTAAATACCTACCTAATTTACTGTTTTGGCTTATATTTTAGTAGTGGAACTTATTACTTATTACATAGATTAATTTGAGTATTTGAAAGTAATTTCTACATAGATCATAGCACAATTAGTTAACTAATGACCAAATACGGAAGGTTCTTAATAATTGACTGTTTCCACGTAAGTATCATGTTCTTCAATGTATGTCCGTACATTAAAACTTTGTTTGGATATCATGGCGAGTTGTTGCAGGACGTGTTCTATTACAATGTCATGTGTTACATATTCATAGCTTCCAAATATTTATTCATAATTATGTGCATAAATCGAATATTTCCTTAGCTGGTGTTATTAAAAGAATTCAATGTTAATATGTATTAGTTCTGTATTGTTTCATCTAACCTCTATTATAACAACAATTATTATAACATTGTTAGCACTTTGTTTGATTTTCTCCGCTCACGTTGTGATAGGTGTCATTTCTTTTCAATAATTATATCAACAGACAGTCATTGTATGAGAGAACAAGCATTCTTGTATAATTCAAAGCCACTTGGATGTGGGAGATTCATCCTTCGGCACGAATGAGCCGGCTCGACCGGAGTGATACCACAACCTCATAGAAACCGACGTGAAACGACGCTTGCGTTGTGTTTCGTCGTGTGAGTGAGGTTACAGAAGGCCCAATTACCCCCCTACCAAATCTCCCAATCCCCGAATCCCCAGCAACACACTTGTAACGCCTCTGATGTTTCAGGTGAGCGGCCCCGATTGCTTACTATCAGGTAATCCGTCTGCTCGTTTACCGGCGTATCCCATAAAGGAACCTTTCAATGACATTAGCATTAACTTTATACATTCTCCAATTTTTTTTTTCTTGTTTATTTTGTAAACTTCTCCTTCAGGCTCACTCAGGTGCTGACCGGACATGGTTGCTTCGGTGAGTACCTGAACAAGATTGGGCGAGAGGCTACAACAAATTGCCACCATTGCGAAAGCAAATTGGATTCCGCACAGCACACGCTTGAAGAGTGCCCAGCGTGGGCCTCAGAGCGGCGGTCCTAGTTGCCAGGATCGGGCGAGACCTGTCTCTGCCAGCAGTAGTTACGGCTATGCTGGCAGAGACAGAAAACTGGAGGGAAGTTGCACCTTTTGTGAGACTGTAATGTCCCAAAAGGAGGCTGCTGAGCGGGATCGTGAGAGGGCCGATCCCACACGTCGAAGGCGTCGAGGAAATAATATGTTGATTTCCTGCCTACAATATTGGTAGGCAAACCTTTGGGGTCATGGGCGCATAGAGTGCGGAATCTAGGCGCCCACCTAATGACCTCAAGGATGACGGCGGCACAGTGGTCACGTGCCGCCGTGCAGTGCACAGAGAGGCTCTAGGAGAGACACATAGGTCTCCATAGGGAGGTGCCGTAACAGGCGTTGCACTATGAGGGTACCGGAGTTGGTCTACTAAGAGGACCCGGTGCCCCCTTCAAGTGCGTATGGTGGCCACCGGGGAGGTTTTAGTGAGGTAAAAATCCCACACTCCCTAGTCTTTTTCCCCAAAAAGCTAGGCGCCTTTGGAAGGTTTCCCCCCGTCAACAAAAAAAAAGGTACCTATCTTCATTCCATCATTTGGATCACCATTTATTTTCCAGATGTCGTCTATTATCAAGTGTATCTACCGATTATTTCGGCCTTAGTTTTTGCGATCGCGCTAATGCCTATTTCGCATTATGCTGATATTTCCGCCTAGTAGCGAGTATTTAATAGCTAAAATATTCCCTTCTATCCCAAAAACGCACTACGTGTATTGTAAGATGAACAGCCTAAAGCGCAAATAAAGGAAATAGATAAACTGATTAAGTTAATCATAACAGTGATTTTAGAAGAAGTATGTAAATGAGGAAAGTGTGATTAATAAAAGAAGGGATAAACTAACTAACTAAGATCCCTAAAAATGCCAATTATCTACTTTTAACAAACGAATGTAGTAGGTACTCAACTAATTCGATAGATTCGGATCTGTTTAGCCAGTACTTGCTCGCATAAAATAGGAGTGTTGACTACAATATTGACAAAAAAATCGTTACTTGTGATTACGCAAGACAGTATTCTCAAAGAACAATAAAATCTACAAACGCCGTCACAAATGATTAGTCCACTGAAGCCGAATGAATGCATTCATCGAAGTTTGCAAAATGCTAAGAAATTGGACCGATATGCTAATCCGCGGGTATTTACGCATGGCCGGTGTTTAGGGACGTAATAACTATATTTACATAGACCAGTCAGTAGTCAGTAGGTGCAGAGTCGCGCACGACATTCGTGCTTGTCAATCCCCACATAGCAATTTTAGGGCATCGAACAGGAAAAGGATGTTCTTACAAAAAACACGTCCAACTAACAATTCGTACCTACTACCTACATAGTTACATTAATCACTCTGTTCAATTGAAAGGTGTTACAAATAAGTGTTATTTATTGTTCCTATAACAAATTATATCTCTACGTACCTAAATGCCATGTTGTGGCAACTTCTGACAACAAACTGCTAAATTAAAAACGTCGAATTTTTTGTATTAGAAATCAATTCCATTAATGGGCACGTTCACTTGATACTATTATACTATCTTGTACTTGCTTTGATTGCAGCCATTACTCAAGTAAACATAACGAGAGTGCCATCAATTATTAGGTTTTTTACTCACAAAAACAAATATTGAACAAAATGACTTCTTGAATGACGTATGCGGACTGCACACGCAAACGAGCATTGTTTGTGTATTTGTTAGTAGTTATTACATCAGTTGTTAATTAATTGGCAACCAGTTCGATGCCGTAGCGCATCAGTACTTATATTATTGATGGTCCGAAACAACAGGACCTACTCAAGTCCATCAAATGTAATCATAATAACATCTAATGTCATAGGTACCGCTACAACAATTTTAAAATTAGACCATTACTGGATAAGCTGCAAGAGATGCGCTTGTGGCTCATGGCTGATGGTATGCGTATCATGCGTAGACCAAATGAGCACAAGCCTAGTGAATATATGAACATGAAAGATCGTGATCGAGAGCTCGAGGCAGACCTAGGTCCTTGTAAACGATTACTGCTTAATTAGGCCTAAAGCCAACAGCGAGACAGAGAAGACGTCTGTGGTTAAGTAGGTGTGAGAATTAAAAAGAGGCGCCCGAAGGAGACACCTACTAAACACTGTCTATTTCTAACAATCATTCAGAATGAACGTTTAATATACACATTAAAGAATAAATTGTGCAGTCAGTAACAAAATCATAACATGTCCGAAATACAATGATTCATAAGTGTGGATATTATCTAAACATGTGATACCACTTATATAATAACAGTGGTAGCGGACATTATGGAGCTATGTTTGAAAACACAACCATTGTCCTGCACAACGCGCTACTGCTGCGACGTCTGAGCAGTGTTTCAGTCACGCGAGCTCGCTTACTAGTAACTCCGCGATATGTTGTCAGGGTACGCAGAACACGCAGCAATGCACTCACGGTATTCCCAAAAATGTACTCCCTTTTATTGAATTAAAGTCTATCCTTTATAATAAGAGACATTTTAAACCCGCTAAATAGATTTCTGCGTTCATAAATTCATATTTATCTATTTCCAGGTCATTCGTGGTTACCTTGGCAATCACGATAGTAATAACCAAGTCACCAGTCAGTGGTTTCACCATACCTCGGCAACAAAGTATTTTGGATTCCTTACCAGATCTTGAAACTGGAGAGAGCACGCAATTAGAAGTAAGGTATGATTTGAAGATCTCAAATAATAGTGACAGCAGTGATGACAGGAAGATCAATAATTCAGATTCGAGAGTAATAGCAATCAATGTTCTAAAGAATACAGAGAAAAATGACACCTTGCATAAAAATAATAAAGCAGTACAAGTGATTGTTAATAAAACTGCCGATATGCAGACAAAAATTCCAGAAAATAATAAATCCGAAAATCGATCCGACCCACTGAATACAAGTTCGGTAGAAGGAGCTAGTCAATCTATTACTACTTCTGCACCAAGCACGAGTCAGACAACGACAAGAGAACCTGAAATTAGTCAAGTGATAATTAGTACTGCCACAACACAAACTTCACTTGCTACTGATTCTCAAATTAGTACATCTAAAGAGAGTTCGAATACCACTGCTAATGATGGTAAAGTGCAAAATGAAAACTATACAAAATCCATAACTTATCGAAATAATTCAAATTCTGCTAATATCAATATTACTCATAATAATACTTCCATTGAAAAACAAGCGGCAACCAATATTAATGATACTATCAACAAGAATAATACTATAAAAAAAGTTTATAATAATATGATCAACCGTGGCTCCAACATATTTATTTTGAACGACACGGAATTTAAATCTGCCGCTGAACGCAAAGACCCACGCTCAATATTTGATTTACAAAATCTGGATAGCAAAAACGAAAGCAATTATGATGACCAAGAAGCTGATCAAACTCATACCAAAGAACAAAGTTCAACATCAACTACTGATACAGCAACTGAGACTTCTACGTATTATACTGATTTAAATACTGACGTTACAAAAGTCAATAACACAACAGAAGCGACCACAAATACAGATTATTCAACAGCCAAAACTCTTAACTCCGATTTTTATACACTATCATTGCCACCTTGGAAAAAATATACTACGATTGATAGAAAACGTATAAGTACTGAAGATACCACAATATCAACTAAAGAAATGGCTGTAGCAGAAACTTCCCAAATAAGTTTAGATAAAGTCCTTACTAGTAATACACTAATACCATCACTAGAACAATTGAAAAATGAACTCTTAAATTCTCAAGAGTCAACAACAAGAAAGTTTGAAACACCAAGTACTATAGAAGCAGCAAACATAAACAATGTACAAAAATCTGAAACGCCGACACCAAATATGATTGTTACAACGGAAATTGGAAATACGAAGTTAGAACTGGTGTCAAAAAGAGCAGGTTATAAAGATAATCGAGAGACAACGATGACACAGCAAGTTGAAGCCACCACCTCAGAGCTCCCCACAAGAGTTATCAAAAACAACACTGAAATGTTTAGTTCTATGTATGAAACAGAACCCAGCGAAGTTGAGGGGCCAGACACTAAGAATGACACTGTGTATGAGTCGCAAAGTCAATTGGTAAGTTGATGGAAATAAGAATAATGTCAATATTACATACTTAGTTCAACTGACGATAACTGATAATATTTCAAACTTTTCAGGCGGAAGACGCGATCAAAGAAGAGTTATTAAAAGAAGAAATGCTCAATGACAATGAAGAGAATGCTAAGCGGTACGTCTTACCCAAAGTCAAGGGTTCGAAAGAAGATAGTGAAGGGTTCGTGACTGTACCTGAAACTGACACTGAAGATATGCTCAGCGTTAAACCTATTGGACACGAAAAAAAGAAAAATACAATTTTATATACTGTTAACCCAAATTACAAACCACTTAAGAAGATTGATGTGCAACCGCCAAAGCTTTTCGTTCGCGATCCCGATGACAACAGTTGGAGAAACGAAAGTATCAGCTCTCTAGGAATCGTGTTCAAACCAAAGAATGCATCAAAATCGTTTACACAAGTGTTAAAGAATAAAACTGAAATAGAGTTAGCGAATATGACTGACAAAGATAACAAAGACAATGTCCCAGATTTAAGAGTAAGGTTAGAAAAGATAGCAGAAGTAAGAAAATCAAAGAAAAAGATTAACAAGTTTGGAGATACAGTATACAGTGACTACGAGGAGTCAGGGGAAAATGTAAATGTTTCTCTTAAAGAAGAGACAACTACACCATCCTTTGAGGACTCTATTCTAAACTTCACTCCTCCGCCTATATCCAAATCACTTACAACAGAATTTGATCTGTCTGTAAATGCGATATCAACGGAAGGGTTTAACCTTTTCAAAAACGAGATGAAGCCTTCCCTAACAACAAATAAACCAAAAAAGTTCTACAACTTGGCAGAGTACTACGATGCTACTGACGAGTATGATGCTGATTATGTAAATCAACACAAAATAGATTTGAAGAAATTTACTAAACCACTAACACCAAAAGAAAACCCCGTTACTCCCCCTACACAGGTATTTCGTACTCAACCTATGAGAGAATATCAACCCGAGAGAAAAGCTACGCTACAATATTTCCCACCTACGCAAAAAAATACACAAAAAGTAAATTTAAACGATTATGATGTGGATTTTAACAGAAAAGTAAATTTGTATACCATGAAAGCGCCTCTTAAACATTCTTCGCCTACTTCCTTTGGCACAGCATCTCCCCTTGGCACCGATAAGTATCTACCTGTGAATAAAATAACAATGAAGCCCACATACACCCCAATGTACCAAACTAACAGCTTGGACAAGAACCTATACTTGACTACTCAACCACGAGTCCCAGAACCCCCTAGTGGATTTGTACCAAATGATGGAAATTTCAACAGAGCTTCGTACGTAATCAAACACTATCGAGACTTTATCAATGAAGCGGCTAAAGAGAGTGAAGACGAAAGAGGCGAGTACCCGTACACAGAGCCTCCACTTCGCGGTGTCACTATCAATGAGCTCGCGAAAATGACCACCCCCAAGGAAATCAATCCGGGTGATGATGATTACGAATACGATGTGAAATTCCGTAAAGATATTATGAACAGATTTGTCGATAACTTCAACCAGAACAGCGAGAGATTCAGGGTGGACTTTCCGATATTATATAACAGTAGTATCGTACACAGACAAACACCAGAGAATGGAAGAATAGCTTCTTCGACTGCATTCATAAAGAGGTTGTATGAAGTGAGCGGTCCCAGGGCATCAAACTTCTTGTCACACAGAAAGCCGTGCGACCCGCACTGTGACCCAAACCTGACGGTGGAGTTGTCTCCTGCGTATGAGCTTCACTATTACGTCCCGGAACAAGAGGAGAAGGAAGAAATGGAACAGAAACCTGCCACAGTACCATACCCGTACAGATTATGAAATACACGTAGCGTGCTTGTTAGGAAATAGTTTGAGTTACTTGATGTAGTGCGAGAACGGTGACACTGTTATGCCATTCAATGTATTGGTGCTTATCGTGACTTACGATTGTCGAATTGTCGGCAGTGTATACTTAAATAACACATGTTTATATAGAAAATTTAGTTACCACGTGTAAAAACTTGAGTGGTCAGTGTAATTGTGACTGAATTGGGACATTAGATTACTTTATTCATCAAAATGTAGGAAAGGTAAGCAGGTAAGTACTTACTTAACGCACTATCGTGACCTAGCCGGCGGGTAAAAAACAGGTTCTCGGGTAAAACCTGAAATAAATTCTACAGGTGATTTACTGAAACGGCTGTAAATCAAGGTGTGATTGTACTTTCATAAATTGCCTTCCAGTTAACTATGTAGCTACTTCGATATGATAACATGTTATTTCTTCATTTAGATGTATTATTAGAACAAATTGCCAAAGATGTAATTTTTAGAATTTTATTATACACCTAAATTTGTATAGAGGTGGGAAATTTGGTAACTAGGTCGGTGCGCCTGCCAAGACTGTTATGTGCATTTCATCAAGTTTTCAGGGGAGACGATAAACTGTTTTTATTTACACTTACACTGACAGATTGATGGACTTAGTAATAAATAAAAAATGCAGTATGGTGGCAAAAAACATTACGCATGAACTGAGATAACAGTGAAAATTATAACATGTACTGTTCATATCCAATAACTTTTTCCATTTTGATGCACATATTAGATTTATCTAAGAAAAAAGTAAAAATTTTATAGAAAAACTTTTGATGTTCAATCTGCCAAACTATCTATGTGATGCTGCAATTTCTGACATGTGCGTTTTATATCACATTCACATAACCCGTAACCAATCGAACACATAACTAATTTGTCATGGCCAGAAAGTGCACATATAAGTTTTGTCAAATGGATTTCTAGAGGGAAATAACATACACATACACATAATTATTTGATTTTGTAATCGACGCGCAATCTGAAAAAATCTAAAACTACACAATTCAGTTTTGGCAGGCGCACTGACGTTATAAACGTTTGTTGTGTATTTTATTTCTTTTGTATACCCATTTGTTGATGTAGGTATTGAGATGAGGTTGCCAAGGTACCTATTGTAATATAGCTAATCAATGACGGTCCGTATTACATAGTAAGCTGTTGTGTAAATATTTATATTCATAGACAATGGATCTAACTGTAGCAAGTAAACACTGCATCTTGTAAGATATTGTTACTTTCTATATCGTGAGACGAATGATTGATCGATAACGCACCATTTATCATTCACCGACTCGTGTTTACGGACTTATAGTTTCACAAAACATAAGCACCGAGTCATTGCCACAGTTATAGACAACAACAACTTGTAACAAATTGAAACTTTGTTGTTTACTAAACTGTTCTTAGTAAACTCGAATGCTGTTTATAAAATTTCGAAGGAAACGTGATGAGTTTGTGACTTTGTGATAATAAAATACAATTTACGTATACCTAGTTGTTGGTTTTTATTTTCTTCCCAATAAAAATTCACATCTTTTTCACTGATTTACTTAGGAAGAATGAATCTTGTTACTTCCATCTTATGTAATGCAAGTCGTATTATTGAGAATTTCAAAATTAAATATCTTTGGTGAGCGGTGATCCTTCTGCTGTAACCTTTGAGCAGGTACGTTCCAGCTTATCAACAATGAACTACTGGGATTTGTAACCTCATTAAAGCAGACACTTTGTTGTTAAACTACAAACATTTAAACTACGAAGAATTATGTAATAAATATTTAATATTTAATATACATATTTATTACATAATTCTTACTACATCACTAGCACTACAGTGCTTTGCAGATAATGTATAAACATCTATAATAAAATTGTAAAAGGTTGGTGTCTATACATCATCATCATCAACAAATACAATATAAATGCCCACTGCTGAGCAAAGCCTCTTCTCACACGGAGAAGGTTAGAGCATTAATCACCACGCTTGCTCAATGCGGGTTGGCGATTTCAAACTTATAATATCAATTATAAGTCCAGGTTTCCTCACAATGTTTTTCCTTCACCGTTTGTCAGTGGTGTCTAAATAATCTTAGAAAGTACATATAACTCGGAAAAAGTCACATTGGTACTTGTCGTTGGTAGGTTTCGAACCCGCACCCTCATGCATGAGAAGTGGGCGTCTTAAACCTCCGGGCCACCACGACACTATACATCTACTGTCTATACATGGAAGACAAATAAGAAAATCTTTATTAGAGGAAAAGTATACACGCAATAGAAACCAAAACAAGGATTTTTGGACTTTTTGTCTGTATACTAGAGGTAAGGAGAGCAAGAAACCAACGCCTGTAAAACCCTTCGTGGCGCTATTGACGCTCCAGACATACTGGAGTCTCTATCACGTTTTTACGTTCCAGACAATTACTGCCGGGGTAAAAAGCACAGATTGTTTGCCGTACCCTCATGTCGTACCGTAGCACGTGCTAAAGCACCTATTCGTCGCACTCTGGCCGCGCTCAATGGTCTCTTGGATCCCAATCGAACTAGTGATCTGTTTGCGGACGGATGGAAGGAGATTTTATCGGAATGCCTGAAGTACTGCGAGAGGAACTTATGAATGCTACCATTTTTTAAATAAGTTTTACTCTTCTGGTTCGTTGTGTATGTTTTGTTCTAATTTTATTATTTCATCGTTTATTTATTTTATTAATGTGTCCAGTTACTTTAATTGGTTTTTGTTTTCAACCATTGTGACTTTAAAAAATAAATAAATAAATAAAAATTAAAAAGTTTATGTCAATCTAAACTTTCTATGTGATCTTAAGTACTATGTGATGAATTGATCCTTTAGATTCTAAAGGATCAATTCATCACATGAATCATTAAAACTATAATGCCACAATATTGTATTTATCCTTACCGTAATAAATAATTTTATATGCAAGTCTATTTTAACACCTACCTACTAATTACTTTTTGAATTACTTACTCAAATCGGACAATCCATTCAAAAGCGCAACGGTATAAATTTCTTCGTAGTTTCCGCTTAGTTTCGCCAGAAGTCACAATTCCAAGTATAGTTAATAATAAGTATAAAAAAAAAAAAAAAAAAAAATAAAAATTTATTTTCAAACAAAATAGTCTAGAGATGTACAGTATTGCTTAAAGCTATATAAAGTTCACAATATAAGGTGCCTGAACTAGGACATCCTGTGTTTCAGGCGAGGTTAGGTAATAGTAATAGACATTGTTATATAATCACTAGTACTTAAATGCTTATAAGTTAAGGTAAATTATGACAATATTTAGTTATGCATACTGATATAAAGTAATACTTAAATTCTATGCTTAATATGTATATAAGAGTATGTATGTAGTATATAAATTAGAGATTAGGAGCTTACGTTAAGTATTATTTAGGAACTAATAATAACTTCTCTGTGTCTTCATAGGACATGTCTTGAAGGGCTTCCTTTAGAATTTTCTTACAGTTACGGATGCTATGGGGGTAAATCCATAAGGTTGCATTTAGTCTATTGTATAGGAGTGGTCCAAGAAATACAAAAAATTTGGTAATAAAAGCGTGCTTTGTACTTTTGGTTGGGCAAACAATATCTCTTCGCCTTTTTTTGGTTATCTCAGGATTGTATGGAAAAGCCGCATGCTGTTTTAGTACCGTGCTCATAATAAAAAGCTGGCGGACTGTTAGTACTTTACAAGAACTATATAGAAGGTTAGTAGGGTAAAGAAAAGATCGGCCAGTAGACACCTTGAGAATATTATATATATAGTTCACCAATAATAACTTTTACAGACAACGATAGCAAATTAAGAGTCTGGAAATGTGCCCGGTATATGGCTAAAGGCTCACCCCCTATTACATGAGACTCATAACATAAATAGTGGAAAGTGGATGTTAAATTGTAGTGGCATTAAGTATCGTAATGTGCACCTCTGCCCACCCCTTCGGGGATAAAAGGCGTGATATTGTTATGTAACAAACGCTTTTCTGAAAACCGCATCAAAATCGGTTCAGCCATTTCGAGATAAACGCGCACAAACAAACATACATTCGCATCTAGATAAAGGTCAAAATGAGAATTTCCCTCTTTTTTTAAAGTCAAAACACTCAAATGGCTAAATTAAAAAAAAAAACGTATCCATTTTAATCTGTGGTATATGTTATAATATTTTATAAGTACACCAAATATTTAATATTTTTAACCGATTAATTATGTACATGTAGCCGCACCGCACGACTACATACCTACCAGTTACCAGTACCACCGAATACCTTTCCATATACCAGATACCTTCCACAATACCTTTACCAAAGTTATAGACTCACTTCGTTTAAAGAAACAAGAAACCAATTGTCTTGAAAAAGACAGTTTACGTTTTGACTCCGTTTTAAGAAACCAGAAACCAATTGTCTTGAAAAAGACAGTTTTCGACTTTGTTGCATAGAAACGATAATCATCACTGCGGCAACAGCGTTATCACACCGTGCCGCGAGCGATCGCTTCGAAAGAAGCGGTTTGGTAAAGCAAGCAGCCAAGCAGCGCAAGCGGAGCCGGAGGCCGGAGTACTTGCATTCATCTTCATTCTTCATTCATGTAGGTAGTCTTCAGTCTTCACTCGACGCCGGCTCTCGGAGAAATGCGCGCGCCCGCGCCGCGCGGTCATACTTATACGGAAGGAACCGATAGTGCCGTGTGCAAAGCGGCGCCCCGCACCCCGCGCGCCCCGCGCACGCCGGCGCGCCGCTATTGGTCGAAACTATCACCTAACTATATCTGATCTTGTCTAGTTGTAAATATGTAAATAGAAATATAAGTAGCGTAGTTTGGCGAAATAAAATCATTCTTGTCAACACCTCTCATCGGAGTTTTACTACTACTAGAAGATAAGAAGAAACCTCCTCTAGGACACTAGGCTCTCCTACCTAGCTCCTAAACTGG